AGCTGCCATCACCCCAATTCTTAAGATACCTGGTCTTGATAACACAGATCTGAACAATTTTAGACCAATATCAGACCTCCCATTTGTTGCTAAAATACTTGAGAGGGTAGTTGCAGCACAACTGCAGTCTCATTTAGAGAAACATTTATGAGACATTTGTTTCAATTTGGTTTCTGTCCCTCTCACAGCACAGAAACAGCACTTTTAAAAGTGGTTAATGATCTCCTTCTGGTTTCTGATTCAGGTGCCCACAGTATCCTGGTTCTCCTTGATCTGAGTGCGGTCTTTGATACTGTTTGCCACTCTGTTCTTCTTTCTCGACTATCTGCTATAGGTATCACTGGTGCTGCTCTTCAGTGGCTAACTTCATATTTATCAGACAGACAGCAATTCGTTAGGATAAATAAGAATAGATCTCACACTGTCACTATTTCACGTGGTGTCCCCCAAGGTTCTGTACTTGGTCCACTTCTATTTCCCATTTACGTGCTGCCATTGGGTCAGATTATCAGACGTCATGGTCTCAATTTTCATAGCTACGCTGATGATATTCAAATCTATTTTTACGGTTCAACCCAACTCAGTTTGTCCACCCCTTTCTATAGTTTCCTGTCTTCAAGAACTTAAAACCTGGATGTCAGATAACTTTTTACAACTAAATGCAGACAAAACTGACGTTTATTTGTCATTTACGTGCTGCCACTGGATCAGTTCATCAGATGTCATGGTCTCAATTTTCATCGTTATGCTGATGATATTCAAATCTATTTTACGGTTCAACCCAACTCAGTTTGTTTCCTGTCTTCAAGAACTTAAAACCTGGATGTCAGAACTTTTTTACAACTAAATGCAGACAAAACTGAAATCCTGCTGGTTGGCCCTAAATCACAGAGTTCCTCCCAGCATGACATCTTCGTAGATATCGATGGTGTCCAGATTAGGCCCTCAAAAACTTTGAGATATTTGGGAGTGTTGTTTGAGTCTGCGTTATGCTTTGATTCACATATTGGTCAGATTGTTGAATCATGCTTTAACCAATTGCGGAATGTTTGTATACGTCCCTCACTTCATTTTGGAGATGCTGAAACTATTATCCATGCTTTTATAACCTCCAGATTGGATTACTGTAACTCCTTATATAGCGGCTTACTAAAGTTATTAATCGCCTCCAAATGGTACAAAACTCTGCTGCTTGAGCCCTTACATTTAACAAAAAATCTGCACATATCACTCCCATCCTTCACCAACTTCACTGGCTTCCTGTGGCCAAACGTATTCAGTTCAAACTCTTAGTTTTAGTTTATAAGGCTTGTCACAGCCTCGCACCTCAATACTTGGCTGAGTTAGTGCAACCATACATTCCTACACAGACTCTCAGATCTAACAGTGATAACTTGCTTGATGTGCCCAAGTATAAACTCTCTACTGTGGGTGGTAGGGCTTTCTGTATTATAGGCCCTAAGCTGTGGAATAAGCTTCCCCATAATATTTGTGCTGCCTCCTCTTTCCAGACCTTTAAGTCTCAACTTAAAACTCATCTATTCACTTATTTCTCTAAATGACTCCTGTACCTCTCTGCTTCTCAATGTCTCTGTCTGTATGACACATGACCACCTTCTTGACATAATTGATGTTCATCATATGATTGCATGACCTCTTGTTAATTATCTGTAGTTATTTGTTGTCAACACTTGCTTGTCTGTATGTCCCCTCTGATTGTCTGGTGTATTTTGTTTGCCAATTGCTTACATTATTTTGTAAAGCGTCCTTGGGTTCTTGAAAGGCGCTATTAAAAAAAACGATTATTATTATTATTATTATTACTCACCTGACAAGAGGTTAAAGTTCTTCAAAAATGTACATGGAGTCGATTCTGTTTTTTTTTTTTTTTGAGGCTCAGTTTGTAGTGATAAGTTTCACAGAAGGCAATTGTAACAATTAAATAAATTAATAATAAGAATAAGAAACGCTTATTTTGTTGGTTGCAAACAAAACAGTTAATGCACTTATATAATGCAACCAACTGCAATGCACTATATAAGGATAGCACAACTGGTGAACAATTGAGAAATTTTGAACACAGCAGCAGAGTCAACAACAAGAGCTGAGTTTTCATATTGAGCGATATGAAAAATATATCATAATGATTTTGGCCATACCATACAGCCCTACCCCGATCCCCATCTGATCTCCATCCTACTGAAACATAGTCCCAATC